GCGCGGGCCACGCCCCCTCCGACGTCTCTGGCGGAGAAGCCGGAGGTGGGAGGACACAAAGCGCGAGAGCAGCGAAGCCACCGCCCGCCCACCTCAAGTCCCGCCCAGTCAGGGGGCTCAGGTTCAGGAAGTCGAAGAGGAGCCCCGAGACGCTCAGCCTGCTTCCTTACAAAGGCCCGCCCCTTTGCTCAGGGCGCGCTGAGTCCGCGCAAGGCCTCTTGGGAGTTGTAGTTGCCGGAACCTTCCTTTCCCTTTTCCTTTCCCCGTCCCTCCTGGAATTACGGAGTGGATGGAGAGGTTTATAGTTTGGCTTTTCACCACAAGACTGACCAGCTTTGGAATTATTGCACTCAGTTTTTCTCTTTGGGCACAGTTTTTGGGGTGGCCTAGAATGATGGTGGAGAGAAAAAAACCTATACTAATAAGATTTAAAAAGCGTTTTTCCCTGCGTCAATGGGCCTGGGCCATCGAGTCAGGTGCTGATTGGTACGCGGGAAGGGGGTGTGCCAACATTCTTCTCACCTGATTGGTTGGGGTGGAAAGTCCTTCGCCTCTCCGCCTGCGGGAGAATTTCGCCGCCCGCCAGGCTCCTCTGATCGGGTGCGCTCTGTTGGTCCCCGTCCCGCCGGATTCCTGCTGTGGGTGGGCCGGGAAAGTTCGGAAGGGAAACTTCGGCTCCTGCTGGGGAGTTCCAAGTCCTAGGGTTCTTCCGAGCGGGGAAGGCTACCCCATATGACCGCTTCTCAGTCTTTCGTAACAGCCATGTGGTCACCCTAGATTTTTATGCCAGGGAACCCCAAAAAATCTCCCAGAAGCTAGTTTAGAGGCACTGCCGAAACTCCGAAATGCTTTACTGCTTTTCTTCCCAAGCGCTTCTTTTTTGTTGGTTTTTTGTTTTGTTAATCCTTACCCAAGGATATTTTTCCATTGATTATTTTTTAGAGAGAATGGAAGGGAGCGGGAGAGACACATGATGTGAGAGAGGCCAGTATTTTAATCTATTTTCTACAGCACCAATACAATAGATATTTAGGGAAGGAAAGTTTTGTTTCCAATACTTTAAATGTTTATTTCATAAAACTTTCAGGTCAAAACCACATGAGTTATTATCATTAGTTTGACATGTATATGGCTCTGAATATATATATACTAGAGGCCCAATGCATGAAATTCGTGCAAGAGTAGGCCTTCGCAGCCCTGGCTGCCTCAGCCGCCCTTACAGCCTCTGCATCGTCAGACCAGAAGGTCGTCCGTCCAGTTCTTCCGCTGTTCAGCAGTTCAGTCGATTTGCATGTTATGCTTTTAGTATTATAGATGAGAATACATATTAATACCTTTAGGATTTTATTTGGGAAAGGTATTACAGGGTCCACAATTCTTTCATTATTTTTCAAAATGTCTTTATTATAGAAGCAAAATTGGCTATTCAAAATTGCTTTCTAATGTACACATTCCATTTACAGAGTAACATCCTATGACAGTGTGAGAGTACATATATGCATGATCAGAAACAAAGGTACATAGGGGTTTGTTGTCAGAGGCCTAATAGCAAGTTAGCACTTGCAGTAAAAGGGTGAAGAATGCATGAAATTCGTTTGGCTCAGTGGATAGAGCGTCGGCCTGCGGACTCAAGGGTCCCGGGTTCGATTCCGGTCAAGGGCATGTACCTGGGTTGCGGGCACATCCCCAGTGGGAGATGTGCAGGAGGCAGCTGATCGATGTTTCTCTCGCATCGATGTTTCTAACTCTCTATCTCTCTCCCTTCCTCTCTGTAAAAAATCAATAAAATATATTTTTTTAAAAAAAGGGTGAAGAAGGGAAGGGAGAGGAATGTAAACTCTTCAGTCTTGAGTTTTGGTCATGAGGATACAGAAGGACCTCAAAGCAACAGCATGTGGGAAGTTAAATGCAATTTAGTGAACATTTTGGCATCTTGGGTGTAGAATGTGTGCGTGTGTAGTGGTCTCTCTGAATTGAAAAGACTTTTTTATCATTACAGCTATGAGGGAGGACTAGTGAACATGGGTTTTGCACAATAAGTGATCAGGAGCAGAAGGTGATATTTCCTTTTCATCACTTCTCTCTAATTACTCTCTGTATTCATCAACTCCCCACCCACTCTGCCATGCTGTCTGCCCTCAGTTCCTTCACTAACACACCACACACACACACACACACACACACACACACACACACACCACTTTTTCTGAGCCTGTTAATTTTCTCAAGAGCGACATGTCCAGTTTCAACACCAATATGCTTTCATCGTGGAGATGAACTCTTGCCTGATGAGGGTAAGTGCTGTAGGTGTTCAGAGGAGAAAGGCGGGGATGGATCAAGCTGGCTACTCCAGGGAAGTAGTGGGAGAGAAGGATTAGGACTGGGCCTTAAAGCCGCCGGATGAATATTCCCTGGCCAAGGGAGCCTGAGCCACTGACCATGTTCATGTCGTGTTTCAGGTGCAGATGGCACTTCCCAGGCATTGGGAAGGGCAGAAAGCTAAGGAATGGAGGTTCACCTCCTATACTCAAGGAGAAAGAAAGATGGTCAGTTTACCTTGAGAGGAGGCATGTCAGGGGGTTGTAGCAGACATAGGTGAAAGGCAGTTTGGGCAGATGACAGAATGTCTTGAATGCCCTGCTAAAGTCTGTTAACATAAAAAAACCATTGAAACCTGTAAAGAATTGTTGTGAGTTTATTTGAGCCAAACTGTCGACATATGCTGGGAAGCAGAACCTCAACAGATTGAGATAGTGGTCCGGAGAATGGGGTTACATCATCTGCATTTATACATTGCAATCAAAGGAGGAACATAGGTGGGTTACATGAAATTCATTGGTGATAGATTAAGGAGGAGGGATAAGCAAAGCAGGGGGGAAACCCCTGGGATTGGATAAAAAGTAAAATGATGGACACATACTTAGGTGGGTGCAGGAACAATTAACATGATGATGAAGGAATTTGTGGTATCTGTCCTGGGGCCCAGCACATTTGGTTGTGACCCAGGGGCTCCAGATAAAGGGAAGTCACAAGTTACCCAGACATTTCAAGGGTATGTTATCATAGATGCAAAAAGACAGATAGGCTCAGTTAAGGTAAAGGTTGACCTTGTCAGTGAAGATACTGGCCTAGGACGTAACTGCCCACCATAACTGCTTTTAGTCAAAGTTTAATTTCAGACCATCCTTTGTGGTTACTTTAGGTCTCCGAGTTTGCAAGACTGCCATGCAGGCCTCTCCTGAGCTTGTCAGGTCAGCATGTGGCCCCTTTCGTCCACAAGTCCCCCGGGAGTACGTACTGCTCCCCCCCCTGGTCCAGGGACAGCATCTCTGAGCAGAGTTATTTCTCTTTCTTTCCAGTGAAAAACCAATACAGATTCTCGGCCTTAATCTTGAAAAAGGCAGCCAATTACTCTCTTACCTGTTGAAGGCCCAGCAGTGGTTACTAACCTGGGGAAGAGCTCATCTGTTTGCTGGATGCAGAATTTACTCCCAGAGAAAAAATTAGTCATCAGAGAACTAGGAAATCCAAAGAACTTTCCTCTGACGTCATCAGAACATTCACATAATCTATCTTTAATTTGAACATTTTCACAACATTAGAAACCTGTTGAGATAAAAGAATATACTGACAGAGGGAAGGAGGCATAATATGAACAAGGGGTACATGGAGAGAAACAAGGAGAGATGGGGAGCTGGAGGAGGAGTGAATAAGAAATGAACTTGGCAAGTCCTGCAGCTTTGTGGTCACCATGGTGACCTCATGAGGTCATTTCTCTGTCTTCTTCCGACTTTCAAGAAAATCTTTGAAGGATTGACCTGCAGTCCAAGGAAGCCAAATGAACAGTGGAAGAGATCCTATATCTTTATCCTTTTTCATTGCTCTTACTGGCAGCAATCAATGTGAAGTTTGGGGCTTGACTTATTTTTTTTTTTAAGAAAAAAGGAATTTATGAAAAAGTGTAAAAGCTAGAAGCTGAATAGTGATAGGAGCAGCAGGCTGATAACCATGATGACTGAGGAAACAAGGCCTCGTCCCATGCTTTCCTGCTGTGGTTGTGTAAGAAACTGAAAATGCACAACCAGGAAGTGGCCCCTGGGTTCTCGCTTTTGTTCCTGAAATGTCTGGGGTAAGCCAGAGCCAGGGAGAAAGGGCTCTTCCGAAGCATACTAACTTTGTTCTCAGTGAGTTTGTTTGAACACCTAACACCCCCAGGGAGCACATGAAAGGACAAACACACACGGGGCCACCGTGCTGCTGAGGGTTACAGTCTGGCAAAATAAAACGCAAGATTAAACACCAGCATGTATTCATCCTGTGTTTCCCTAAGAGAACCTTCGTATTGGCCGAAAGGACATTTCATGTGGCCTGGGCCAACGGTGTGTTGCTTGGGACAGTAAATACGCCAAAGGAGAACTTATCTTTGGGTCCCACATGGCTACGTGACCCTCTGATATCACCAGTGTGATGTTGCAGCTTCCCAGACACAGCTGTCTTTGAACACATGCAACATAGGGCTGTCAATGAATAAATAAAACTCCATGAGCAGGAGAGAGCCCACACCTAGACACCCTGCAATTCGATCCTGCCGTGTTTCACCTTCCACAGGCTTTGGCCACACGGTGCATAAAATCTCTCTCTCTCTCTCTCTCTCTCTCTCTCTCTCACACACACACACACACACACACACACACACACACATGGGAAACCAGATTTTTTCTGTTGTGCTTTATGGTGACACAAATTATGGGTTGCTCTATTCTCCATTGTTTCTATGCAAACTGCTTGACTTTTTGTTCATAAAATTAAAATTAGCAACAACAACAACAAAAAGAATCTTTTTCTCCTCACTCCCACCCTTCTTGCTATTTTATATCTAAAAGTTGATACAACTCATTGACTTGGGTAAAATGGAGACAAGAGTCAACAGAAAGAGTACAGAAAAAAACCCAGCCCCTCACTCAACACTTATGAGGCCTTAGGTAAGGCTCTTAATTTCCCTAAGTCTGTAAAATGAGAACAACGAGGCTCCTCTGGGATTGAAAAGATAATCAAATAAGGTAATGGGAGCTTTTAGCAAAGTGTCCAGCACAGAGTCATCACTACTGAACATTAGTTGAATCTTAATCTGAATCAGTGGGTGGAAGAGAACACAAAATACTTGAAAAACATCCATTAGGACTATTTTTAGTCTTCAAAGCAGTTCTGCCAGTTGAGGAACATATTTTGTGTATTATATTCACTGATCTGGCACTTAACACTTAAAGTGCCTTGAATTTTCTTAACAATGAAACAATGAATTGCTGAGTTTTTCTTAATGACTCTTTTCAGCACCCCCGGCTACCATCTGCATAGAATAAACTAGACCTAAGTAGTATTCTTCCATCTGTCCATGTTGCCTTCCTGTCATGTATATAGATTTCTAAGAGCTCTGCCTATAATGATATTCCTTATGTTCTGCTTTATTTCGAAGTGTTCAATATACTTCTGCAAATTAGGGAGGAGAAAAAGTTGAGACACACAAATTGGACATAGGATGTCTATATTCTAGAGCAGGGGTCCTCAAACTACGGCCTGCGGGCCACATGCGAATACTAATATTGTATTTGTTCCCGTTTTGTTTTTTTACGTCAAAATAAGATATGTGCAGTGTGCATAGGAATTTGTTCATAGTTTTTTTTTTAAAACTATAGTCCTGCCCTCCAACGGTCTGAGGGACAGTGAACTGGCCCCCTGTTTTAAAAAGTTTGAGGACCCCTGTTCTAGAGTGTTTAAATGTCTAGATTCTCAGGGCTGGGAGGAAGCAAGTCCTCATGTTAGCGAACCACGAAAGATGAAATGATAGCTCAGAGTCTGTGTCAGCAGACCAGGTGGGGCTGAAGTTCCCCATGTCTTAACCCACTCATTATGACTCTGTAGGTGGGGCTCTCGCTGAGATCACCATGAATAACCCAGGTGAAGACAGGCCTGAAGCAAGCAGAGTCTTGCTGGCCCCAGGTAAATCTGTTATGAGTATTTTCCTACTACTTTATATGGGGAGAAGGAGAGAGCTGGCTCCCAGGGGATAGACCCAGAAACATGTACTCACATACTGCTTTTTGCTTACAATGAATAAAACTTGAGATTTTTATTATTTGTTTATGACCATCACCCCTTCTATCTTCTGGAAATAGCATTTCCTTGTTCTAGGGTAACTGAACTCCCCCCACCTTGCACCTGGCCCCAAGGGGTCTGGATGGGTGCTGTCCTCACCCTCCTGGCCAGTGATTGGCCTCTTATGGGGGCACGTGACCCAGGTTAGCACATTCTGAGTCTTTCCTTGGGATTTTTCAAACTGGAGTTTAGGGGATGTGTCTTTTTTGTTTGTTTGTTTGTTTTTAATCTGTGTGATGTCTAAGGGATGGAGCTGGGACCCAGGGACTGCTGGTACCCTTGATTAGGAGCAAATGAAGTCAGCAACAGAGAGAAGCAGAGATAAAGGATAAAGGTCCTACTGATATTCAAGCCCTGGCTCCAGTTTTCCCAGGACAGGATGTCCTTTCTGGAGTCTGGTTAAAGAAGACAAGGCGATCCTCTGTTATTTAAGCTAGTTCAAGTTGGACTTCTGATTGCTGAAATCAAAAGAATTCCAATTGACATGCCCTGCCTACCTGAAGAATGTATTTCCTCACAGGTGAAAAGAGCAACGTAATTATTTTGCATGATAAAGAACTGATAGGTAAATAGCTTTCGTCTTTAGAACCAGTTTCTAGACAATAATTAGAAATGACAAGTAATGCTACTGTTGACTCTACTTGACAGGGATTGTTAACGCCTGACTTCCTCTGTGAAATCTATGTTTTAAAGCTATTTCACACAAAATGATTTCCCACTCATCAAACCCAGCAGCCCTTTTCTTCCTTCTCTTATGTCTCAAGTTCGCTTGTCCAGCCGTGTTTGCAATCGGAGCCTTTCTGTTCCTTAGGAAATGTTATCCCATCACTTGCAAGTTTCCATTCGTTAGAATTCATCTTTTTGTGTCTTCAACCTCCATCTCCACTGCTTCTTTCCCATCTGCTCACATACATCTTTATATCTTCCCTGTTAACAGGAGTTTTAAGTGAACTCGTTTTGTTAAAATAAGTGCCTTCGTATCGAAACCCACAGCAGCAATTTGATCCTCCAAGTAGGTAACCTCAGTGGTTGGATGTATTCTGATTTGAAATAAAACCAAATAACTTTTTGAAATTGAAATATAATCGACATATTACATTGTGTAAATTTATGATGCACAATGTGTTGACTTGATACACTTTATATTACAACTTGACTATGGTCTTAGCTAGATATCACCTCTGTCATGCCATATTTCTTCTTAGTGGTGGGAACAGTTAAGATGTAGTCTCTTAGCAACTTTGAAGTTCATCATACAGTATATTTGTCTATAGTCACTGTGCTGTGTGTTACATTTCCAGGATTTATTTATCTACTGGTTTCAAGTCTATACCCTTAAATGACATATCCTCAATTCCCTGATCCTACAGCCCCCGGTAACCACAAATGACTTTTAAAGTAGGAATTCCACTAAAGTCTCCAGTAGACTATAACACCCTCCCGGGTACAGAAGTGTCCTATTTATCTATATCCTTAGCCCCCTAGGACTCTGCTTGGCATATACTAGTACTATGTAGTCAATAAATGTTGAATGAATGAATGGTTTTAGTCATCTTCTATAGAGGTCCACTCTCAGACTCACTGGTTAACTACCTAAGCAATTTCCAAGCTTGGGGTTTTATGAATGCCTGTAATCCTGGAGCCCAAATGTAAAATCATTATAATTCAATTAGAAAAATCTGAGAGACACAATAGTAAACCCGGGGGCAATAGATTAGAACACCAAGAAAGGTTTAATCTCTAACAAAGACCATGGTCACAAATACACTTAGGCCCAACTCTGACTAGAAAACTGTAATTTATCTAAAGCCACAGAGCACCCAGGGGAGTGGCCTACCTGTAGAGAAGATGAGGGAGAGAAGAGAAGCACTATGGCAACGGGTATGCTCTGAGATTGCTTTGTATTTTCTGCTTGAGAAGAATTGGGCAGTTTTAGTAGGCATATCGCCTCTTTTGCTCAAGCAGGGAAAATTGCATTTTGTGAATTGTGTTAGGACCTATTTGTGCTTAATTTTGATGCAGGTTCATGCTAAAAAGGAGGTTTCAGATCCAGCCAGGATGGAAATTTCAAATTCCATGAAAAATCAACAGAGATATATTTCTTTTTTTACAGGAGGATTTTCCCCAATGAGCAAGAAGAAACAACCTCTTATTTGACTGCTCGACAGGGAAGCTTACAGAAGATGCCAGTTTCTCGAGGCCTGCCTTCTGTAGGGAAGAAACAGGACTTGAGAAGCAAGGAGAACTCTGAGGAGCTGGCAGTCCAGACTCTGCCACCAATCATTGGGTGGCCAGGGATGGGATAACCAGGATGACAGGAGGAGGCGGGGCTGACTCTGAGTGTTCTAATCCTGCCTCTTTATTAACTATATACATGTGGACGAAGCCTTCCTAAGCCACTTCTCCTCAGGCTTATTATTTCCACCCAAGTGACCTGTTCTTTCTCCTACTGCAATAGAGAAATTGCTTCAACCTTGTTCTGGGCCCAGATCTGTTTTCCAAGCAGTCTGCCTGGCTCAGAAATTTAGCTCCTGCCAGGGACCACTTTCTTGTGCAAACAAGGACAGCTATTTCCCCCAGGCCCTGGCTCAGAGGAATGTTAAACTCTGTTAAGGCCTTTGTGGGACATCCTGGGAGTAAATACAATTTATATCCATTTCTTCGT